AAATTCTAATCATTGGATCAATGGAAATATTACACAAGTGAATAAAACGAAGGAAGAACGTCCATTCACATACTCCATCTATTTTAATGGTCAGCTGTTAGTGATGGAAAGCCATTTTATTTCACTGTACGCAAAAATCTATGATAAATCTGAAAATAATATTTTGGCTGATTATGCAAGACGTCCTCCTTTCAATCCGAAACAATATGAATACATATTGACCATATATTCCAATAAATATCCTGATGCCTTTTATATCCTACTGTTCACCACTCAAAGATTCTTGGAATCCCCGCGCTCTGGTAGGTTTGTCACCGTGAGAACTCCAGGGGAACGAGTTCCGTTGGTTAAATAAACATGATCAAGTACGAACTATTCTTGATAAATGACTAGAGAATAACTTCACAAAAGTTATGAAGAAAGACTAAAATCTTAGACTGAAAAATCCCACAGGTTATGAATTACTATAAAAAAAATCATCAGCTCATGAATCATTGTGTTGCTTAAACTGAATAAAGGTTACTTTTATTTTCATTGGTTTGATATATAAAGTACACTGAAAACAAATGATATCAAACGAAAGCTGTGAGGTTTTGTAAGATAATAGGGAAAGTTTTTATGGTATCGCATGCAAAAGGTTGTGTATTAAGCTATTTCTTTTTCCTGTTTTATGTGTTCTACGAACAAATATTCGTTAATCAGAAAGTCGACCGATCTCAATTTCTCCATTGTTTGTAAGTATCATTAATCAATTTATAATGATTCTTTTTTACCTTTCGTTGCTATTTTATTTTGCATTGGTATGTTTTCATACTAATCCTTTTCCTGAAAAAATATAGAAAAGTCGATTAATGTCGCAATAGCGTTTAAAACTTCATCGAAGAACACATAACATCTAGTCAATCAACACTATTCGAAGTATCTATTTCATTAAATGCTTAACTTTTGCACTCTACTCTACTTTTTCACATAGTCTGTTGTTTCAAATCATTCGCGATTGTAATCATTGACTTTCATCACATTATAAAATTATGTTTAAACAGTTATCATACTTGCAACGTTTATATTCATGCTTATTAACTTGCTACAATATTAATTTGTTACAAGGGTCTGGGTGTGAATATGAATCTTTCTAGAAACCAAACCCACATCCACATCGATAAGGAACGAATGATGAATAAATTGGATAACATACTATAATCGTTTATTTTTCTTGATTATATAACTTTAATTTAATTTCTTACATTGAAGTGCGTAGGTGTTTTACTAAACATTCTACAGAAAACAAGCATAGATGCTGAATTCAGTACTAACTCTTTACCCTTGGCTGGATCGTTTTCGGTTCATTCGTACTATTTACATAATTTAGTAAAGAAAATGACCGACTGAGAAGATTGTGGAATATTTTTAGATAGAATTGAATGAGCTATAAATGCATAAAAAAAAGAATTTCTCCTCATTCTTTACACGACTTATTCGAATGAAAAAATTGCGAATTTTCGAATATGTGAAAAAATCTGTTTTCTAAGTTTATTCGTTTTTTTTTTATTTACGTAGATTGAGTACTCAGACATTTTATTTGTTGATATGTATTGCTACCACCTAAAGCCCTTTGAAAGAAAGATCAAATGGATTTGTTAATTATTCGAGAACGAGCACCATCCTTCAAGCCAATTTGGGTCGTTTTCGACACATTCGGATTGAGTGATATAAAATTTTTATTTTTCTGACATGGCTTTCTCTCATTAATATGACTGCATAATTAGTGATATTTTCTTATTAAAAACTTTTATAGAGTTAAAAATAGTTAAATGACAGAAGAATTCGTCTTTTTTCGATTGAGACATAGATACATCAACTATCTAGCAAGCAGATCACTATGGGTGTGTCCATGAGAAGTCACCAGGACCATCCAGCGACCTCGTCCAAATCTAATGAAACTTTCAGGGTTGATAGAACTTTTTACACTGATCATTTTGATGGTAAAATTTTTTAAATTTGATCATATTCTCAGTGAGATACAGACGAAATAGTTTTACCACATCTTTGTTTTTTTTTGCATTTTTTTGCAAAAACTAAAGTTGGAGTAGTATCGAAAAATTGATGATATGTCATCATTTCTCACTTGGATCATTAAACTAATGACATATTCTGATTCCTCGTGAAAAACTGCATCAGAATATGTAACTAGAAATTAATAGAATTTCCACGGACTTTTTTGAGATCCCTTTCTTCGCTATATGCAGTAATGCTTCATGGAAATGTTTGAAAATTTGATCAAAAAAGTGCAATAAACCAGAATACTGGTATTAGTAGTTCGATAGAACAAAACTTGCTCTACAACATGCACTAGGCTGTTTTCCTCTTAACTATCATCTTGAAAGCGATGAAGATCAACAATACTTTATACCACTCTTATTTAGTGAATTTTGATACATATAGCCGTTCAATCTAAATCAATTCTATCAAAAATCAGTTCCAAATTCATCACCAACATTAAGGCTTTGTAAAAGCTGCTACATTGATGATTTCTATACTAGATTATGTAGCAATGAATCCTATTTCGATCATAATACAAATCATATAATATGAATACATTGGATTTGTTTTTGTTTGCTATGTGTAAAGACTATCTACTTAGGGCCTACCAAAAGTAGTTGCGCCAACTCTGTAATATTTTGCAGAAACCTTTAAGAAAGTTTTTTGCTCTATATTCTGATACCCAAGTCAAGGTCTATAATTCTATGATAGTTCATAAATACTTAAAAGAATATTATATAAGCAAAAGCTTTGATACTCTTAAGTTTTCTGCAGCTTTTATAAATTTTCACCTAGAAAATATACAAAAACTAACTACACGCAGAGAAAAAACAAACAGAGCATGTGTGTTTCACATATATAACTGAAGATAAATATCAAAGAGGTTAAAAAGACTGAGAAAAGAAAGAGAACAGAGGAGAAGATTAGAAGGAAAAAAAGAAGAGGACAGAAGTATTAAGCTAAAGACAATATAGCATATTGTTTCTAACATAGACCATAATACGATCAAAACTATTCACTTCTTTTCAAATGGAAAAGGAATATTTTCGTTTCTATATTAAAGTGCGTACTGTACTTCATATTGAACCCATAGCTATTCATAATGAATTACATACTGTCTTGGGTGATGAAGCTCCTCGTCTCAGGACTGTTCAAAGATGGTCAAAATGGTTTCGTGACGGTCGAGAATAAGTTAAAGACGAAGAAAAACCTGGTAGGCCTATAACGGAGACTACACCTGAAAATATTAGACAAGTTCACAATCTTATTAATGATGATCCTTATGTTACAGTTGACGAACTCAAAGCACAAAGTAATCTAAGCCATGGCATTATCCAACGAATTATTTCTAATCATTTGCAATTGAAAAAAGTTACTGCACGTTATGTTCCAAAACATTCGACGAACTTTCAAAAGGCTGAACGAGTACGACTATGTCAAGAAAACTTGTTAAAATTTGAACAAGGTGTTTGGAGATTATGCGATGTAGTAACAGGTAATGAATCATGGTTTTATTACAAGCAAATCTGTCAAAAATCATCGAATGCTGCTTGGGTAGCACGTGGAGATCCTTCTCCAGCGGTGGTTCAATGTAGTCACTTTGCTCCAAAAACTCTCCTGTGTATTTTTTTCAAGTCAACTGATCCAGTTTTGATTCATTCTGTTAAGCGTGGACAAATAATCGATCATCAATATTACATCAATAATTGTTTGCGACCAGTTATTAATGAAATTGGGAAGCAACGACCTGCTTGAGGCATTCAATCAATTAAACTTCATCATGATAATGGAAGACCACATATGCATGAAGATGTAGCCAATTATCTTCAATCGGAAGGCGTAACAATAATGCCACATCCACCTAATTCTCCAGATCTGGTTCCATTTGATTTTTGGTTGTTTGATTTAATCAAACAAAATCTAGACGACCAGATGATTCAGAATCGTTATGTGAAGCTATGATCAAATTTTTGAATTCGTTGGCAAAAGAAGAGTATAAAAAGCTTTTGATAAGTGAATTCAACGAATTCATTTGTGTGTACACAATCGGGGTGATTATTTTGAACATTTGATGTAATAAAAACACGATAAACTTGATTCAAAAACTTTTTTTTCTGTCAATCACTCATTATTTTTCCTTTTTCTCCAAGATTATATATTGTTTGAAGATTTAAGAAATGTCATAGTATTATAGAGCGTGACTTGGGCTATCAGAATATATAGAGAAAACATTTCCTAAAGGCTTCTGTAAAATATTTCAGGGTCGGTGCTACTACTTTTGATATGCCCTAAGTAGTTCAAGGAATGACAAATCTCAAATTGGTACAAATTTTAAAATCTACATGTCAAAATTTTCAAATTTCAAATTTTCAAATTTTCAAATTTACAAATTTACAAAGTATGACAAAATTTGAAAGAGACTGAGATATCATATGTTTACTCACACTATATTTTTGTAGTACCTTTAAATTGAAAAAGACACCAGAAATCAGATATCAGATATTTACTTTCAAATTTTCAAATTTGAAAATTATTCTTCAAATATAATATATGAAACACCATATAGTATCTCTAATTTTAAAAAGACACCAGAAACCAGATATCAGATATTTACTTTTAAATTTTCAAATTTGAAAATT